TGTAGAATTTGATTATGGAGAAAGAGTTAAAGCAACACCCATTATTATTGTCTTTTCTTTTGCTTAAAAGAGAATACAGTTGACTTAGTTTATCATAATTCTGTCTTATCTGGTCTCACAAGATCATTAAATAATGTTCAAGAAAACAAGAAATCATGTAGTAGTACATAACATTGACTTCAATGGATAACAAGTGTGGCCATGTTTGCAAATTACTACATTATTGGTTCCTTCCAAGCAGCCTACAAGATTGGTAACAGTGAGAAGAACCAGACATCTATACAAGCTGATACTTTTATAGGTTCATTTCACTTAAACACAAAGCTTAGCCGCCTTTTTTACTATACTTTAGTACCCTTTTTAGCTCATTTCATTCCCTAATTACACTCTTCAATTCTCAAGAGCCGTGTGGAAATTGATGGTAATTACACTGTGTAATTATAATATTGCTTTTTAGTTTCATTCCTTTTTGTTTTTTATTTTACTTTATTTTCTTTATGGCTTTTTATTTCTATTATTTTATTTTTAAATTTTAAAATATATTTTCTTTGTACATTATTTATCTTTTATTTCTCGATCTTTATTTCTTGTGATGTCATGTAATTGCTTATATTTTATTTTTTATTTATTTTATTATTCTACTTTTTGAAACTACACCTAATATTAGAAATAATGAGTCATTAACAAACTTGCCATATAATGATTTGATGCAATTAAAGTGGAATTTCATTGTTGAATGTGCATATAAACTTATTACATGTTTCCTAATCTTAAGTTGTAGTGGAACCTACTACTATTATTATGTTGGAATTTGACATATGTTATACTATTTTTTTTTCTTTTGAAGTTTGAAATTGTGTTATATTCATGGTTCCAATTTACTTGTTTCAGTAGTATTGGCTCACATTGCATGTTGTTCATTTTTGAATTAGAATTGATAGATTAGTTTTGTCAAACATTTGAATAATATTATGATATTATATTTATAAATATTAATTTATTTTATCAAACATGAATTCCACGATGTTCTTACAAAACATATATTTTTAGTTTTTGTAAGTATCTAAACAAAATATTATTAATTTGAAAAATATATAAAAATTATTTTTACAATATTAGTTATAAACATATGATTACTAATTGATGTATATTCACGAAAATATATACATCTTAAATACCAAATATAACATAATTTATAATTATAAAAATTTATAGGCATATATTTATTATATTAACTTTTAAGTTCTTATAATTACTTAATTTAAAATTTAATCTAACTGTGTAATTAAACTTGTGCAACCAAACAATAAACTTGTAATTACACTATAATTAAACTCTGACAAACAAACAGGTCGTCGTAATTATACAACTATATAATTACTAGGTTGTGTAATTACTAAGGTAGTAATTATACCAATTCTAATTATCGGGTGGCTTTCCAAACAGACCCTTAATGATACTAGTTTATGGACACTGCCTGTATTCCTTAATATACGAACTCTGAAAATGTAACGACCCGACCGGTCGTTTCGAGAATTATAGCCTTGTTCCCCATTTGTCTGCTTCATTTGTGATCTTCAGCCATATTATGTCTTACCGGGTTAGTCGGTTTGGGTCCGGAGAGGTTTTAGAGAGAATTGAGATACTTAGTCTCTTATGAGAAGGTTTAAGTTGGAAAAAATGACCGGATGTTGACTTATGTGTAAACGACCTCGGATTTGAATTTTGATGGTTCCGTTAGCTCCGTTAGGTGATTTTGCACTGAGAAGCGCGTTCAGAATGTGATTTGGAGGCCCGTAGTAGAATTAGGCTTGAATTGGCGAAAGCTGAAATTTGGGCGATTTTGGTCGGTAGTGGTAATTTTGATGTTGGGGTCGGATTGGATTTTCGAAAGTTGGAGTAGATTCTAGTGTCTTTCTGACTTGTGTGCAAAATATGAGGTCATTCGGACGTGTTTTGGTGGGTTTCAGAGTCTTTGTGGAATTCGGAAGTTTAGAGGTTCCTAGGCTTGAATCCGAGTGTAATTTGGTGTTTTGATGTTGTTTAGAATGATTTGAAGGTTCGGCTAAGTTCGTATGATGTTGTTATGTTGGTATGTTTGGTTGAGGTTCCGAGGGCCTCGGGTCGATTTCGGGTGGTTAACGGAGCAAGATTGAAGTTTGAAGGATTGTTGAAGTGGTCTGGTTCTGGTGTTTCCACACCTGCGGTGGGGAGCCTGCAGGTGTGGACCGTAGAAGCGATGAGGTGCTCGCAGGTGCAGGCTAGAGTGATTTAGTCTGGAAGCGCAGGTGCGAGGATTGGTATGCATCTGCGTAAGCACAGATGCGAGAGGAAAAGCGCAGATGCGGAGAAGGGCGAGGAAGGCAAGGACCGCAGAAGCGGGCGGGAGCTCACAGGTGCCCGCATGTGCGTGTTGGTGTCCGCAGATGCAGACTCTGTGAACTTATGTGGGATCCGCACCTGTGATGGATTTTCCGCAGATGCGACATCGCAGAAGCGACAATTGGACCGCAGGTGCGGTTTTGCTGGGCAGAAAGTATAAAAAGGAGACTTCGCGAATTTTAGCTCATTCTCACCATTTTTAACACGGACCTTGGAGCTTTTGGAGTGATTTTGAAGGAGATTCAAGGGTTTTTCAATGAGGTAAGTTGCTTGAGCTCTACTACTCCTATCTATGGTATTTTCCCGTTGATTTCTCACCTAATTAGTGGAGTTTTGAAGTGAAAAGGGGTTTGGCCTTGGAATTTGGAGAGAGTAATTTGGGGATTCGAGGGACCAAATGATGTCGGATTTTGATGAGATTGGTATGGGTAGACTCCTGAGTGAATGGGCTTTCTAATTTTGTGACTTTTGTCGGATTTCGAGACGGGGGCCTAGAGGCCGGGTTTGAGGCGATTTCGAGATTTGAGTCCAATTTAGTAGTTTGTTTTGTGGAATTGGTTCCTTGGCATATATTGATTGTGTTGTATTATTTTTGGCTAGAGTCGGGACTTTTGGAGGCCGATTTGAGAGGCAAAGGCGTCGCGGAGTCTCAGATTGACTGTCAATCATGTTAGAAATCATGCTTAGGCTATATGTTGGTACTGTTGGGTCCCGTAGGGGCCGCGTTACATGTTGAATTGCCTGTTAAATGCTATTTACTCAGTCACAGTTTTTATTCGTATATCATATCTCACTCTCTGTTATTCTATCTGATACTTCATATATTTCTATTTGGGCTGATGTCCCTGATTTCTGAGAACCCGAGAGGCTAGAGAGATTGATGACTGAGTGAGGCCGAGGGCCTGAATGTGAGGATATTTATGGGATCGGGCTGCACGCCGCAACATGTTTATTGATTTATGACTGAGTGAGGCCGAGAGCCTAATTGATCTATGGCATGATTGGCTTGTTATAGCGCTTGGGCTGAAGGAGTCCCTCCGGAGTCTGCACACCCCCAGTAAGCGCAGGTACCTACTGAGTGCGCGTATCGAGTGCCAGTACCGAGTACCGAGTGCTGAGAGAATGTGAGGAATGAGTGGTTGTGAGGCTGGAGTGAATTGGGAGGACTGAGAGATGTTTGCCCGAGAGGCAATATATGATTACATTATTGGTGTACACTATTGCCTTATTTCCATGTTTGGAAACTGTTGAAAGATATTTTTATCTGGTTTTACTTGAGCTTGACTAAAATAAACTGATTTGACTTGAATTACTGGAACTTGGAAGCATGACTATTTTCCTTTATGAAATTACTGTAAATGAAAATTCTGTAGCTCGTCACTTTCTTCAGTTCCTTATTTATTATTGTTACTTATTGAGTTGGCGTACTCACGTTACTCCCTGCACCTCGTGTGCAGATCAGGAGCTGTTGGACGCGGTGATTGTTGATAGCACCCGTAGCTGGTCATCGGAGATAGCGAGGTAGGTGCCAGCGTTCGCAACCCTGCTTTCTTCTTCCCTATCTTTCCTTATTTCTATATTTTGGATTCCAGACTATGTTAGTCTTGTTATTTTCGGATCAGTTGTATTAGATGCTCATGACTAGTGACACCTCGATGTCGGGCTTTATTTCCGCACTTATGTTTTGGGGTTCACCCTGTTTTATGACAAAGATTTTAGTTATTTTAAAGTCTTGATTTATTTCTGGTTATTGTTAAAAGCGTTTTGGTAATGTCGGCTGACCTAGTACCATCGATAGGCGCCATCACGACAGGTGGTGTTTTTGGATCGTGACAGAAAATAGGAGTAACACGAATTCTAAATGAGAAAAAAATACAAGATCAAAGTGATGCATAGACAATCAATTTCGAACTCTTCTTTTTTTGTCACTGTGATTTACCCCGTAATAACTATGAATTATATCCAAACACCATATATAGCTGTAAACTTACAATGTGAGGTAAGTACTTATTGGCACCCGGTGTTTTACCAGTATATAGTGATGGAGAAAGTGTGAAAGCAACATCCTTGATTATCGACTGAATTTTCCTTTTCTTTGAAAATTATTTTTGACTTAAAATTACATTGTCTCAGTGGATTCATAATAATTAGTACTCCAATATTAAAGAAAAGAAGAAACAAAGTACTTATCTAACATTAATTAAATGATAAGTGGGGGAAAATTGACGGGACATATAGGGTCTGTTTAGGCGGCCCGTAACAAGGCGGAACCAAGATTTCAAGTTTACAGGTTCGAGATTCTAATCCTTTTAAGTTATTGGGCTCCAAATTAATGATTTGTACATATTTAATGAAATTGTAAGACGAGTACGTGATTTGAACCAAAGCTACTGAGTTTAGCCAAACCCGTAGTCGACACTGTGGCTCCGCCTCTGGCCAGAAGTCCGTGCAAACTTATACAATATTAATTGGTACAGTACACTTTTACTTAAGCCACCTATGTTTAAAATTAATACTTACTCTATAAAGAAAAAAGAAACAAAATAAGTAACATCAACTAAATGATAAGTGGGAATAATAGACAGATTGACATAGAGAATCATTTCAGGCAGCCTGTGAGAAGAGGCAGACATCCGCACAAACTGATATCTTAATGGGAATTGCACATTTTTACACAAGCCGCCTATTGTTTACTAGTACTTAATTCATTAGTGCCTCTTATTAGTTTACTGATTACTAATGGACCTTATGTTCTAAGCTTAATCCTATAAAAGTCAATTCAACAGTTAGTGGCTAAACATGAGTACTAGTGTGTAGTGAGTGAACATGGGATCTAGAATGGGTTTACCTTATTGTCTTCATCTTCTCTTCCTTTCATGGTTTCTTTCTGCTCATGTCTTCTGTTTGTTAGCCGTAGCGCAAAGATCCACTTACATTGTCCATTTGGACAAATCCTTAATGCCTAATATCTTTGCTGATCACCATCATTGGCATTCTTCCACTATTGATTCCATTAAAGCTACTGTTCCTTCATCAGTAGACAGATTCCACTCTGCTCCAAAACTTGTTTACTCTTATGACAGTGTGATTCATGGCTTCAGTGCTGTTTTGTCCCAAGATGAACTTGAAGCTTTGAAGAAGTTACCAGGTTTCGTTTCAGCATACAAAGATACAACTGTGGAACCTCACACTACCTACACATCTGATTTCCTCAAGCTCAATCCTTCATCTGGTCTATGGCCAGCTTCTGGATTAGGCCAAGATGTGATCATTGGTGTTCTTGACTCTGGCATCTGGCCTGAATCTGCGAGTTTTCGAGATGATGGTATGCCTGAAGTCCCCAAAAGGTGGAAAGGAATTTGCAAGCCCGGCACACAGTTTAACACTTCATTGTGCAACAGAAAACTTATTGGGGCTAATTACTTCAATAAGGGAATTTTGGCTAATGATCCCACTGTGAACATTTCCATGAATTCTGCAAGGGATACTGATGGTCATGGCACACACGTTGCTTCCATTGCTGCTGGGAATTTTGCCAAAGGTGTTTCCCATTTTGGATATGCACCAGGAACAGCAAAAGGAGTCGCTCCACGAGCTAGGCTAGCTGTGTACAAGTTTAGATTTGATGAAGGACTTTTTACATCAGATTTAGTTGCTGCTATGGACCAAGCTGTGGCAGACGGTGTTGATATAATATCCATTTCTTATGGGTTCCGTTTCAATTTCATTCCCTTGTATGAAGATTCTATTTCCATTGCTTCTTTTGGAGCTATGATGAAGGGAGTCCTAGTTTCAGCTTCAGCTGGAATCGA